AGTCCAGCATTACTGCAACTACGTACCAAGATGTCTCAGGATTAGAAACAGAAAACACGGAGATGTCTAAAACAATACAATCGTAAAGAGACCAGAAAACAGTGTTAAACAAGATATCACTGGTGTTTTATTGTGATGATAGTTTTCACATTTCAAAGCAAAAGTTGTTCTTTTACTCAAGAAAAAATCAAGAGGAATTACGTACTCAACAGTTTAATTATGAAAGGATGGCTAAAACGAGTCAATGAAAGTTCTTATCAGAATTTGGACCTTCGCTCTTGCAAACCACGCCATAGATGTGAAAAGGGACATCAATGTTAGGGATAAAAATGTATTATATCAACTCTTGCGATTGTGATTGTGTTGGACCTGGATGTATAATTTTAAATTCTATTTGGAATGACTACATACTCGTAGTCTATAGATGAGGAATTTATTATCTATCTTTAAAGGTTGTGCTGTGTTTATTATTTTTATTGGTGTTGATTCTCATGGTTGCCACTTTTACTTGTGCAGCATCCATTCCTAATGCTTTCTATATGTGTATTTGAGAGTACTACAGTTAATGTATTTTTATTGCTTCAGTAAAAAATTCATAGAGGGAGTAAATGAATTGAAATATTTAGCCCAATAACATATTTTGGACTTCGATGTTAGTAGTTTGCTTAAGTGTCATGCATGGGTTTGCACCCCATTGCAGAAGGTGTAATACAGTAGGTGCAGACACGGAAAATCGCCAAAATCACAGGGGGGTTAAAGAAACAAACTAAGTATTTTTTTTGTTTAAAAAATTAGGGAAAGATTTGTTTTTTATTCTTTTTATTAACGTGCAAATAAAACAGTATATAGCAGGTTATTTTATATAATGTTTATATAACATTTTGCCTTAATTAGAGGATTCACATTTGTTTTGAAAATGTATACACATTTTTGAAATTGTATTTCATAATTATATTAATCACATGATAATAGTTCCACTTATTATTGAATTGCGAATGTATCAACAAAAAGTAAAGAGAGTGTAAGATGTATATTTTCGACTTTTTCTGGTGATTCCACCAACTTTTTGTTCATATATATGGAAAGGAACTTAGTCATTGTAATTGGAAATCTACAAATGTTTCCTTGATTAATGTTTTGGTGGACCCACCAAACTCCCCACTTTAAAAAATTAACTGCACAGGCAATGCTGATAATATATCATTCAAGTATTCTCTTTGTTTTTGGTGGGTCCACCAAGTATTTGTAAGTGAAATTAAGAAAGCTTAGGGATTTTTTTTGTTTTTCTACAGGTTGGTGAGTCCACCAAACGACTTTCTATATTTAGAGACAAATTAGTTGATCTTTGAGTTACATGGAGATTTTCGAATTTTCTGGTGGACCCACCAGGTTTTTGTTCTTGTGTACATAAATGTATTAAGAAAGTGTTTCTTAGTTATTTTACAAGAAAATTATGATTTCTTTTTTATCTTAATGTCTTTGGTGGATCCACCAAACTTCCCACTATTAGTAAATACAAGGTACTCTTGACAGTGTATCATTTATGTATTCCTTTGGATTTTTATTTGTATTTTTGGTGGATCCACCAAGTATTTGTGAGAGAAATTTATGAATGTCTTCATTGTCTTGTTAGTTTAATTTTTGCACTTTGGTGAGTGCACCGACTCAGTATAAAGGACGTTTTTTTATTTTGTTCTACAACTCAGTTTCTCTCAATGGGTTGCTTCAGTATTTTAAAACTGGTGGATTCACCAACGTCATTTTTAAAATGTTTTCGGGAATTTCACCACATTTAATGTTTTTGGTGGAACCACCAAAATCCCCACTACTGATAAATACACTTGCTATATTTATTTTATGTAATCTTAGACAATCGGCGTCGTATTTTTGGTGGATCCACCAAGTAGTTGAATGATTAGTTCACTTATTCTTAGAATTAACTAGAGAATTAAGTATTGTAAATTCAATCTTGTTTTCTTGGTGGAACCACCAACATGACCAAGATCAATATTTATTTGAAGATATTGATACTTCAAATTGGTGCATTCACCAATTTTTGACTGTTAATATAAAAAAACTGATTAATGATTTGTATGTTTTAGCATAAAAAATTGGTGTTCTCACCAATTCTCGATGTATTCAAACATGACAATGAATTTTAAAAAATGTTGATTACTGAAATTGCATTGTCTTGGTTTTTCATTTTGAATTGAAAAAAGAGGACAGGAATAGAAAATCCTCTTTCTTAAACAGAAGAAATTTTGTCTCCCCAATGGCACCTGATCCCAACTCTGACTTTTTGTAGGTCCTTGTGTTACCTTAGCTGCTATGATATAACCCTTTCCTTTTTGGGAGAGGGCTACAACTCCTTAGGATCTCCGCAATGGTGCTAATGCAGAAGCGATTCACTCCTGCACGGATTTCGGCTTAAATTAACAGTAAACGGTTTTTACATTGTCATACATTGAATTTATCCGCCAGGATTAGTGACCTTGATCGATTTTATTTTGGGACAGCCAGTGAGACTACAGGGATCTCTAGAGAGCGGATCTCTGTAGTTATTAATATATTTTAGGCATAAAATATCACTGTTTACGACAAAATGTCACATGGGATAGTTTTATTATCGGTCGCAGCAGCGGCTGATCTATTTGTGGTTGTGTTAGAAAGTGCATATGAGTAAATGAGCTATTAGTTCAATAGAATAATTCTTAGATGATAACATACACTAGAGGTACTGTGAGCAATGAGCTCACTAAATGATACCCCTATTTGAATATAATTGCAGTGTCCATGTTTTGCTGTGGAAAATCTAAAATATAAGTTAGAGCAAAAAAAAAAAAAAAAAAAGAGGTGCAGAATGGCAATATGTAATAAAGATTCTATGAAAATTTCATTAAATTCCCTTCAGTGGTGTGAGAGGAGTTGCGGATAAGAGATGGGTACCCCAAAGCGTAACAGACGGAAGGACGGACAGCTATAGACGGATGGGCGGACTTACCGATTACTATATACTCCCGCTTTCCAAGCGGGCGGGGGATAATAAAATCTCGTGTGAAATATTTCAAAAACTTCTCTTGTCTAAGTCTTTTTAATCGCTGTTATTATGATTCAATTTCATCATACCGGTCACGGTAGCCTAGTGGTAGAGCGTTCGCTTCGTGATCGGGAGGCCCGGGTTCGATTCTCGTTCGCGGCGCCGCGTCATACCTAAGAGGTAAACAAAGGTAGTGACTGTTCCTTCGCCAAGCGCTCGGCACTAGAAGTGAAAGTCACAGGTCTTTCGGATATGACCTTAAAAACGTAGGTCCCGTGTCACGGTAGGCGCTGGCACGATAAAGAACCCTCACTGCTCAATGGCCCTGAGTGCCGAGTATAGGTCTAAATTTGAAGCCCTTCACCGGCATACGGTGACGTCTCCATATGAGTGAAAAATTCTCAAGAGGGACGTTAAACAATATACAATCAATCAATCAATCAATCAATCAATCAATTTCATCATCATTTCGCATAGTTCTGGTTAAATAAAAGGAGATTACAATAGGTACACTGTACTCCCCATCCTAGGCGTGTGTAAGATACGAAAGGAAATCGTCACGATTTTTCCGGATAATAATGATGTGATAAAAGTGCATGGTGAATAAATTGAAAAAAAAATGTTCAACTAGTAAAAATTGTTTTGAATATGGTACAGCTGCGGATGACGCAAGGATTATTTTTCGACATTTTGCACCGCGACATGCAGCATTACTCTTAATCTTGAGAGGACTATATTTTTACTTTGATGACAATTGATTCTTATCTGACATTTATCATTGACTTTATAATATCGAAGAATCCATTAAATGAGCAAATGCTCTAAAATATCTTTTAATTTAAAAAAAAAGAATATTTATTTATTTTGTTTTACAGACAGCCTGAAATGAAAATGCTTATAAATACTATTTCCGCTTTGATTATCTTATGCTTTCCTTGGCACCTAATCCCACCTCAGATGTTTCGGAGGTCCGTGTTTGCTCTGCTTCTGTTTTGTACTGTTTTATTGACTTTGATATTGAATATTGTTCATTATCTCCATATCCCTCTTGCATGAATGTTTTTAATGTGAATATACTTTTTTGAAATGCTAAATTTTGTGAGCGGCCAATTTGATGCTTTGCATCAATTTAACTTGTTTATAAATGTGTAGTGATGCCATACAGTGCAATCATTTAGTAACCTCGAAAATCTACCTCTAAAGTAATCATAATTTTCAAGCGCAAGTCTCAGTGCATCACGCGAGAACTGTCATGTCATCTGAGTAGAGCGACTAGTACTCAAGCAGATTTATTATAACCCCCCTCTTGAAAAGTGGGAGAATATATAGTAATCGGTATGTCCTTCCGTCTGTCTGTTACGCTTTTGGGTACCCATCTCTTATCCGAAACTCCTCTCATACCACTAAAGGAAATTTAATGAAACTTTCAAAATAGCTTTATTACATATTGCCATTGTGAACCTCTTATTATACAAATTTCACTCAGTGGTATAAGAGATGGGTACCCTAAAGCGTAACAGACAGACGGACGGACGTACAGCTAGACGAACTTAGAGACGGACGGACGGACATACCGATTACAGTATATCCTCCCGCTTTTCAAGCAGGGGGTATAAAGACAGGCTCTCCATTAAACACGTTTTGTTTGTTGGTAAATAGCTTTCGTGATATATTCTTGTTAATATGAAATACCTAATTTTACTGGTTTATTTTATACATCTCAAAATATTTATTGTTTTTAAGTCAAATTCCTAAGAAACTTCGAGACTCATTTTTTTGTATTTGATTAACACGTTGTATATACCAAAAATTAATGAAAATTGTAGTTTCTGTGGCTGAAGTTAGGAAATAAAGTCACAGTTTTCTAAATAAAAAAAAGGTATATAAAAAAGAACGCGAATTTTGGAGTCACATGTAAAACAATGGACAAATGTTTTTTTTATGAATAAAATCATTAACATACCGTAACAGTGCATCAATCCTGGAAATAAAACAAAACACATCCACCACAGGACAGCCATTTCAAAACAGGAAGTAAATTGAAAAAAAAAATCTTTGTTAAAAGCATTCGAACAAAGAAGAATCCACAGTGATTTAAAAGGCTGACTGTCAAGTGACCTACTTAAAAAGAGAAACATAGGGATGTACTTAAATTTGGGGATGATTAATCTTATTTTACAGAAGTATATACTTCCCTATCACAGTTACTGGTAACCGACTCCAGTTATAACCATTATAAATAACATGTACATTTAATAATTATATCTACCTTGTCCACAAAAATATGTTTTAAAGAAAACTTGCACCAGGTAGATTTCATTTTTTACTTCAATTTCTTTTTGTTATTTATAACTTAAGACACGTAGGGAATTTGTGACGTATTATATTATTGTGCCTGGTAATGCTTTACACGTCCAATGAAATAGAGTTAAGGAGGAAACATAATCAAAACCAATATTACTGCATGCATCTTTATAAAAAATGTAAAGATCTTAATCATATATTTACTTATATTTAAAACTATATGAAGCATGCTTATCATACAAATAATATACCGTTTATATCGTTTTTTATTGGTTTTTTTAATATTTGATGATTGATTTTTGCAATTTTTGCGATCATTTTTTAAAGAAAAAAGAATAATAAACCTCGCATGAGTTATATGAGATATTGTGTGTCATAGAAAATATAAGCAGTTTTGACTTTTTTTAATCTAAAAATAATTCGAAGTTGCATGAATTATTATTATTTTTTAATCTGACAGGGCATGCATTTACTCGGGAACGGCCGGGATCATCCAATAGTCAATTACTCTGAATATTAAGGTCAAATCAAGCATTCAAAGTAAGCCTTGTAGTGTACACAAATGTAGTCTCCATCCTTAGATGTATCATCAATGCAAGGTAGGTCAACGTAGGGCTTATGGTTTCCTGGAAATAAGACCTGTTCTCTAAAATTTAACCATGTCATTCCTAAGATGAAATTGCAGCACATGATAACTTTACTACAGCATGCTAGAGGTTCACGGCGAGATACTTTTGACTTGGCGCCGCGTAACCTCTAGCATCCATTGTAAAAATTCTTGCCGCTGAAACCCCAAGTGGAAATAAATTATTTTATTAAAAAAATAAGGCTTTGTATATTAACGAATGATACGAAATAATAAAATACCCAATATTTACGATAAAACTTACGCACAAAACACTGTTAACCTTTCGAATTAGCAATAAATCCTTTATTTTTTAAATCGAAGTAGAAATTGAAACAAGTCGTCTGTTTAAAATTCGGAAATGGAATTCAGAAAATATGACGAAACGAAACTAGTGTTTTGCAACAAAAATTTCGTTTTCTGACAGGCAATCCGCAAAATTACATGTAATGTGAAGTCAAATCGAAAGTACTTCTGGTGACAAATTGGAATAATGACAATTTTCATTAAATAACAATAATGCACACTGAATAAAATGAATTTTATTATTTCTCGTGACTTTCATACCCCATGGAAACACGTGGGTACCTGAAAATTACTTGTTAACAGTTTATTTCACGCATAATACGTTCCGTTCAAAATCTCAGGCGGAACGAGCTAGTTAGAAAATGGCCTTTGGATGTAAGAGTCCGAGGTATATAAGGAGCGTAGGGACGTTAACCGAGGCTCTTACTTGTAGGAGTAATGATAACTTGACTGGTACTTGTAAAATGAATACATGGCTTAACTTTTCCATCTTGCAATTCTATTTTGAAAACGACAAATATGTAGACGTTTTTAAACAATCTTGCATGCCGATGTTGTCAAAGACACCAACATAATTGGTATCACAAAAGCTCCTCTAACATGATTTATGTGGACTCTCTATAAACGTAGCAACAGGGGGGCCAGGGTGCCCCCCCCCCTCCCCCCACTTTTTTTCCCAACATTGCCTAAGATTACGATTAAAAATGTCCATTGAAAGATGGGTTCCCCCCCCCACTTCTTACCACATTATAGTGATATAAAGGAAATGGGTTCAAGCCTAGTATTCCGACGGTCCTATAGTCCGACAGCCCTTTAGTCCGACGGTCCGATAGTCCGGCAGCCCAGTAGTCCGACGGTCCGATAGTCCGACAGCCCAGTAGTCCGAAGGTCCGATAGTCCGACGGCCTGGTAGTCCGACATTTTGACCATCACCAATATTTTTAATAGTGTTATAATTACTCCTTTCTGACATTATTTCAAGGTAAATACAAAAAACCGCCGGGGGGGGGGGGGGGGGGCAACAAAAAACTGTAAGAAATTATGCACTCGACGGAAAAGGATAATTTAATTTTCTTTCTTATAATTTCCATAATATAGTAAAATATGGCACGCCAAATTCATAAAAGTGAGCTAAACATAGTTTCACAATTGATAAACTAGGTTTTTTGTCTGTAAGCTATAGTGTACAAACTGTAAACCATAGTTAACGATTCCTTAAGTATAGTTTTCCTCTGTAAAACTATATATAACGGTTGTTAACTATAGTTTACGAATGCTAATCTACGTTTATGTGCCTGTAATAAAACGTTAACAATAGCTTTTGTTGATAAAAATAGATTTTCGTTTGTAAACTATAGTTTACAATCGTAAACTATAGTTAAGAGTTGTTAATCATAGTTTCACAAATCGTGAAACTATATTTTTCAGATAGTTAAGTATAGTTAACAGTTTGTAAACTATAGTTTACAAATCGTGAAACTGTATTTATCGCGTTAACTATATGGTTTACAGATGTAGAATATAGATTAACGTTAACTATAGTTAACAGTCCGTAAACTATAGTTTACAACCGATTATCCTGGTTTATCGACTGTGAAACTATGTTTAGCCCATTTTTGTGAATTTGGCGTGCCATATGAAACATAGATTATAGCGTTAACTATGGTTTACACATATAAAATATAGATTAACGTTGTTAACTATATAGTTTACAATCTGTAAACTATACATCACAACAAATTAACCCAGTTTATCGACTGTGAAACTATATTTTCCTCATTTTTTGTGAATGTGGCGTGCCAGAATTGAATGTTTTAGAAATCGAATTAAAAAGATTTTTCGTCAAATTAGAAAGATTTTTCGTCAAATTAACATGATTAAAAAGATTATAAATATAAGATTTTTTTGTAACTCAATAAAATAATTAAAATCAATTTAAAGGTATAAAAGAGGCAATTCGTCTATAGAAACCTTAGCTTACTTAGTATTAAATTTCAAATCGGTGGTTATTTTTATTTGAACGTAAATACCGGTAACACTCAACATATATATCTTTATATATGGTATTATTATCTCAGACAAGCCATATACATGTATAACTTTATGAATCACTAATACTGGAATATTTCCTTAATTACAAATAGGGACGTACGTAGCAAAGAAAGAAAAATATAAATATGACAGAGGAAATTCGGAATGGTAATAATTATCACATTTATGGCCCAAAACTCTACTTATTTCTTTATAAGGAGCAACTCTGTTACATTGCTAAAATATTTCATTATTTAAAGAGTTTCGTTGCTTGTACTATTTTGTGAGTGAAGAAAACAATGGTCATAGTGTGAAAAATTGAGGTATTTCCCGAGAAATACTCAGGGGCCACTAGCATGAAAACGAGGCCATTGACCTAGTTATTTGAAATTGAAATTTAACACAAGAATCATAGAGTATACAATGTACAATAGGTGGTTTTTCGTTGCTATCAGTTTAATTTTTGGTCAACTGAGTAAAGGTATACATTAATGGAAGATACTTCTTAATTCTTCGTAATACAGATATCTTTAAAGATACAAATTTACAAACAGCAACGACACGTGTATAAAAATTAAGTGAATATTCAATATGAATTCCAAGTAATTTTTCATGTGTAACACTCGAGGAAATTTGTATATTTAAATTTTGGTTCGTCACTTTTGATCGTCTTTGATGTGTGTGTGTCTATCGACATCCATTTTTTTTTCTAGTATTCAAAATCATCTGATTCCGAGAACACCATCTTTCTAATTACTCAGTACTTATGTCCGAAGATAACATATTTTGAATAGAAGAAACATTACTGTCAGAAAAGTGAAGAGTGGGGTCATCCGCAAATAAGTCAATGCTTGATTTCTCTATGAATAATGGGAGATTATTGATGTAAAATAAGAAAAGAAGCGGACATAAAATTGATCCCAGTGGCACTCCCGCTCTGACTAATTATTTTTCGGGTGTTGCTAAAACGCGGAACGGAAAACGGAAAATTTTTTGCAAACAAATGACATAGATTCGATATAAATCATATAAAAGTGCAATATTCTTTTTGTAAAAATCATTTCAGATGAAAATTAATTGTAAACTATTATATATTTATGAGTCATACACACCCTCCGTGGAAAAAAATGGTACTAAAAGAAATTCGCCCCCCCCCCACCTCCCACACAAACGAAATAGGATTTTCGAGTTTGGGCAAAGGACATATGCCCCTTATTTTGGCTTCTCAAATTTGTTGTATGTTGGAAATTTTTTACTGACCCCCCTTCCCTCTTTCAATTTGTTTCCAGTGTCAATGTCTGTATATTCAGATTATACACGCAGTGTCGAATTCGCGAATCATGAAAGGGGGAGTGGCAGTTTCGGGTCAGTGTAGTACACAGCCACATTAAAAATTGATCTATTAAACCTTTTATATATGTTGGACACAAAAAGGGAGCAACCTATAACAACTTCTAAGACATTTCCGTTGAGCGGGAGAACAAATTCATTTTTACGGGGTCATTCATATACCCCCCCCCTCCCAAAAATACACAAAATACACCGCAAACAAACAAAATTTAACTTCATTGAATGCAAAGATTCTGTATTATTTTCCAACTTTGTCTATCCAGAATTTAAATATATAGACAGCGTCTCTCTTTTTAATAAAATGTTAATAACCAGTGTGAATAAGAGATGTTTATTCGAGCTTGCTGTAAAGGTTTTCCCTAAACGAAATCAAGTTGACATTCTCACACTTCTTGTGAATGTAACTAATGTAGTATCAGGGACCTATA